TATAACGTCAAACGTATGCCAGTATCGTCTGTCATCTATCGTTACCGGTACCTTTACTTTTCCTCGAATTTTTATACTTGTGCCATTCGCCAGGCGTATTGATTTGTCTCTTTTCTGTATCGGAAGTTGCCACTTGTTTGCTAACAAACGTTTAGTTTCTCTTACGCGAACGTAAGTTCGCGGTTCTTTGCTGGCTTATACATGAAATCTCGGATCCGGAGTCGATTAATGCGTTAAGCGGTGTCTTGAATATTTTGATTCTTACGTGTGGGCGCGGTGTGTATATTATTTGCGGTGTCCTTGGAACCGAGGGTCGCCCTATTGCTCCTCGGTCCGCGGGGCGTTTCCCGGTCGTGGATGGCAGTCTTTTGTCAAAACTCTATCCCTCCCGCACTGGGAGCAAAACTTCTTTGCCGGTTGTCTGCAAAATCTTCTTGTATGTCCTCTTTGTTTGCATCGCCAGCAGCAATCCGTGGCATTGTATATTGCTGCCGTTGTTGCCGTTTGAGGTGGTGAGCGCGCATTTGTGCGCACACTTTTCCTCTGACGTTCAATATCCTCTATCTCTGCTGCTTGGGCCCCTAGTTCTCCTAGTGTATGTATGCTCTCCCTCCTGATGTGCAGCTTTAAGTCTGGCGACATGTTTTCGTATGTTTGCTCTATCTGATCTCTTCTTGAAAATCCACCTGCTCTTCTCATGAGCGTCGCCAGTTCTGTGGCGTAATGCCTAAATGGTTCGTTTACCTGCTGCAGTCGTCTTTGTACTTTTATTTTTAATTGGTTCTTGTATCTATATGGGAAATACTGTTCCCGAAATGCGTTCGTGAAGTCATTCCAGTCTTTCCACGCCTTCTTGTTGTTCCTGTACCAATGTAAGGTACTTCCGCGCAGTAGTTCCGGTAAGCCCTGCAGCATTTGTTCGTCGGTATATTCGTAACTATTTTGCAGTTCTTCAATTCGCTCCAGGAAAGAAATTAAATCTTTCCCGTCGAATTGACACCCCCATTTACGCAATTGGTTAATTGTTTTTGCGACCGTCGCAGGGTCGTTTCTATATGATACTTCTGTCTCTTGGCTCGTTCCTTCGTCTTCCGTTCTATTTGTAAACCGTTGCGAGTTATCGGAGACATATTTACTTAGTCTGTTTCTTAATTCATCTAGGGTGCCTTCCGTGGGCAGTCCTAGTTCTGCCATTTTTTGAATTATCTGGTCCTTTGCCAGGGTATAGATCCACTGCTTCATTTTTTTTTTTTCTATCTGTTCGGGCGCCAATTTGTAACGGCCTTGCGTTACGTGCGGGATAGTCTTAGTCGGTGTGGTCCGGGTTTCGTTTGTGAAATGAAAAGCAGTGGTGTAGGTTATAATAACGTGGAACTATATTCTAATTTCTAAGCTATGTACAATTATTTACATGCGACGTTACGCCGTTGGCGCGTAGTCGCGTTTTTGCTCTCGTCGGGAGCCGATGTTGTCGTCTCGCGATCAGCTGCGTGCGTCGAGGCGCGGGACGCGACCGGGAATGTTATCCTGATCCGTATCCTGATATGTTATTGTCCGTCGTTTGGAGTTCGTTGCCTCGTCGGCTTTAAGCTGTTTATTTACCCTGGTTTTAACCTGGCTGGTTTAAAGGCGCTTGTCGTCACCGGTATCTTACGCCCTGTATGCGTTCGCGATCGTAGGTGTTAGCGGCGTGGCGTGAGGAGGAAAGGATGTCGACGTCGCGTATCCACTTTGGTCGACGAAGCGGTGTATGGATAGGAAACTGACGTCGCGTATCCACTTCGGTCGGCAGAGCGGTGTCGGAGAAAGGATGTCGACGTCGCGAATCCACTTCGGTCGATGGAGCGGTGTATGGACAGGAAGCCGACGTCGCGTATCCACTTCGGTCGGCAGAGCGGTATCGCAGAAAGGATGTCGACGTCGCGTATCCACTTCGGTCGACAGAGCAGTGTATGGATAGGAAGCCGACGTCGCGTATCCACTTCGGTCGGCAGAGCGGTATCGGAGAAAGGATGTCGACGTCGCGTATTCACTTCGGTCGACGGAATGTCTAGGATCTCTAGGAATTTCGAGTTCTGGTCGGTCGTGCGCCTGAGAGGAGTTTTCCGATCAATCGCTCCCGTTAGCGTGTCGGCTTTTATACTAATTTGCAACAAACAGAGCGGCTGTTTGTTGACCTTGTGGTTGTTCCGCGCGCGATTGTTCGGCGTTAATGTTAGTATTGTAAATAATATCTTTAATTGTCGTGACGTTCTCCCGGATCGTCACATTGTTATTATTAATATAAAGTGACACTGGAATAACACACATATTAATTTTGTGTGTGTTAGTTCAGTATCATTTTTAACTTCAAATTGATAATAATAACAATAATAATATTAATAACAATAGTAATAATAATAATAACGCTTTCTACACAGTGAATAGCGCGCGGGACAACACTGGCAGAAGTTTCATAAAATTTCGAGCTAATTTTATCCCTCAGATCGAGCGTTTTATGTCTCTGAAAAAAACCTACATGCTAAAATGAGAAGAATGAGAATGGCAGTTGCAGTATCCATAGAGAAAATGTAAACAGCCCTGAGCTGGATATGAATTTCAACCAAAGATAGCATAGACATTTAATATCCATCTCTTTTCAAACTGTCATATTTAAATATTATATTGTACATTATTCTTCTTAAACTGTTTAATATTATGACACAAGTTACAAATTTGCGGAAAAACTTCCAAAGTCAATACAACTAAATTGTTGTCTAATTAAAAAGTGGTTTAAGGGGGAAAATACTTTTAGGACCTTCAAAAATTTCAAAATTTTTTTCTTTCATAAGATGTTAATACAACTTTTCAAGAATATAATTCCAAAATTTTAAAGCGAAATTCGGAGTCCTTCCGTTATTATAACCTGTGAATGACCCATCCTTGCTTGACGCCGGAGCGCGTTACAGATACAAACGACCGTTCGGAGCAGAGAGCCTGCCTTTCATAATCCGCTATTTTCTAATTCTTGTTAGTTCGAACAGATATTCGGTAGAACAGATATTTTGAAAGAAGTGTTTATGAAATATTTCAAGTGAAAGGACTATTATACATTGTCTAACTGCCTTTACTAGAGAAGGTCGACGCCAGTATTGCAGTCACTTTAGCTTCGAAATTCAGTTTGTACGGTTTTGAAAACTCAAAATGAAGTCATATTCGAAAGGAAGTAGAGATGTGACATTCCGAGTATCGAATCCGCGTAAAAGACATTTCAGTGGCAATTTTGCAACTAGTGCAAGTGGTAAAAGGCTTAAGCTATTGTAACAAATTTGGAACTTTTGGAGCACTCTGCACCACTGCACCCAGATATATAGAAGCATGTTCTTCCTATCTATAAAGACCTATCACAAGAAGATCTACTTTAAAGATGCTTGGGCGGCCATACACAGAATGCTAACGAAAGTTTTAATTCAACTCTTTGGCGTTTCGCTCCAAAGCAGAACCTGCGTTTTGGATTGAAAATTATTGAAATTGCAACATATATGGCAGCCGGCTTTACGTTTAATGAAGGATATGCTTCTATTTTACGAACCATGAACACCGTAGTTATCATCATTAGAAAGCAATGCAAAACGTATGCTGATAACATTGATGAGTGCGGAGTGATTCGAAAGGAGCGGCGCAGCTCACGACCAAGAAGGATCGTAAAGCACGTAGAGAAGAACACTTGGAGGAAAATCAGCTTTATGAGGAAACTGAAGAACTATTGTATGATCCTGGAATTCCAGACTAACCGGTAAGTCATTGAAATTATTGAGTTTTCACTTCTCGAAACTTCAAACGCGTTTTTCTCAAAATTGCATTTTCAAAATTGATGTAAGAGATAACTCAAAAACTATTTGACCGATCTCGTTAAAACTTTACACATATCTAAATAATATTACCTTGTCTTTGAACCTATAGGTTTAAAATATTGAAAAAAGTACTTTTTTGTTGCAAAATATAGTAAAGTTTTTATGTAAAATTTGAACTTATTTTTAAAAAACGTACCATTTCTGTAATTTTCAATTTTTTTTTTCATTTTTCTTAGGTTCGCGTACACCATGTAAACTCACTGTGCAAATATGTAACGTTTACTATTTGCACAGTGGGAATATTAATGATCAAAAAAATGTATACATGTTTGTTTCAGATTAATATCGCAGAGACTAAAGCGTACACCGTTTCATAACTCGCGCCATAACTTTGCCGGAACACAGTATCACAAATCCACCATTTTAAAATATTTTGTAAAAACAAAAAATACGTTATGATAGTTAAAAATACTAATAAATGATATTAAAAAAAAATTTTTTGTTTTAATGTAAGACAAACCATTTCCTTTAAAAAAAATTCATAAAAGTTCTCATTTTCACCCCTCTAAAAGTATTTCCCTCCCTCAAGTGAATATTAAATTCAACCATTGACGTCTAATGGCTGTCTTTTCGATCAGTCATTTCTCACTGGGTTTGCACTACGCTTCTCGATTATAGGGTAGTATTCATAGTCGGGTTATATATTTCGGTATTTTGGCACAATTGCATAATACTACAACAGTACTGCAGCAATATTGCAAATTAATGCCTCTGCAATATAGCTGCAACATTGCAAAAGTAATGTTGTACAATATTGTGTATGCAATATAGTTGCAACATTGCAGAAGTAATATTGCATAATATTGTGTTTGAAATGTTATTGCAATATTACATTTGCAATATGAAATTTTACAATATTGCAACAATGTTGCTGCAGCTTCTGTGCTGTATGGGAAAATTCATTATTTTGTTACACTTTTCATAACAATTCATAATGAAAATTATGATTCATCATAAAATATTTCAGCAACTTTTCAATAACTTTCATTTCTCTTTTTGATGATTTCATTGTATTTTCAACAATTTCATTATATTTCCAGCAAATTTTTTCCATCAGGGAATAGAATGATTTGTACAAAATTCAAAATATTACAAAATACATAACAATTTATGTCTTCATTAAGTATATTTTATTGTACAATTAAGCGAACAGATATAAACGTATTGTTAATTGAAACAGTAAATGCAAAGACGATATTGTAGCATTGTAATGTTGACGAATGGCAGCAAATATTATCAGTTTGGCTATTGTAGGTTTCCATAGTGTGTAGCTGTCTAATTTGGCTTCCGGGTGATGTCGTGTCCTTCATGAATATATTTCCAATGTCTCATGAACATTTTAGTCCACTTTTTCCAGGCAGACTTAAGACTTATTGGTCTTATCTGTAAACGCAGAAAAATCCGCCTTACAAACAAATATTGCTCACCATAATTTACTTGTAATAGTAAAGTAATCTATAGTAATATTTTCTGTAAGGTCGTAAGGAATTCTACGACAATTTCTTACTGCTAACGAGAGATAAATTGCATAATAATCAAGTGGCACACATTAACAGCGTATTCAAGAAATATATTAGTGCAAAGATGAAATGCAAAGCAAGCGTTTCAAATTATTAGGCAAACATACAAATGAAAGTTTAACAAATAATAATATTTTCAGAACTCAGTGTTGTTTTATGGTTCTTAAGAAAAAGAAATCAGCTTATATATCATAATGAAGTAGAGGAAATAGAAAGAAAAGGTCAACATGAAATAATATACATATTTAGAGAAAGAATAATGCGCATGTATTACAACGCAAGATATAAACGTGCCAATAGCACATGTCAATAGCATATGAATTATAATTATGTGAAATCTATTAAGCAAACATGAAAAAAATATATATGTATATATACAGTATGTCCAAAAAGTTTTGCAACCTCTAAATATTTGGAAAAATACGCATTTTCGATAAAAATGCTTAATATAAAAGTTAAAAATTTAAAATTTAAAAATATGTATTTACTGATCTTATTAGTTTGACCTTGAGTGGCAACTTTGCATTCTTAAATAGAAACATGTACTTTTATTACCAAGGTCAACTTTGCATTCTTAAATAGAAACATGTACTTTTATTACAGAATTTTATTCTATGTAAATAAATAATTTTTGTTTAAAAACATTTTTCATGCGACCTCTATTTTTTAAGATATTTACAAAAATATGCACAAAATTATTGGTTTAAATATTTTTGTACTCGAATTTTATCAACATTACCGAAAAATAACAAAACATAAAATTATCTATTTTCTTCTCGTAGAGTTCTGAGAATTTTTTTCAGAATTTTCTAATTAATTTTTTAGTACTACATTTTTTGCATTTTCTTAAAGTACTAAAAAATATAACATTCCGAAAAAATTCTCACAGCTCTATAAAAAAAATAGATAATTTTTATCTGTTGCTATTTTTCGGTAAAGTAAATAGAATTCGAGTAAAAATTATTGAAACCAGTAATTTTGTAGATATTTCCGTAAATATCTTAGTAAAAAGAAGAAATAAAAAATGTTTTCAAATAAAAGTTGTTTATTTCTTTACGTAGAAATAAACTTCCGTAATAAAAATATATGTTTCTATTTAAAAAAGCAAAGTTACCTTGACCTGACCTAGGCGGCGCCGCCCAAGATCAAAACTGATAAGATCAGTAAATACATCTTTTTAAACTCTACAAATTTTGTATTAAGCATTTTTTTTTAGAAAATGCGTATTTTTTCAAAATATTTAAAAATCTTGAGACACACTGTATACATATATGCATATACAGGGTGAATATTATATACCGGAACACCTGAATATCTCGAAAACAAAGCGTTGTATAAAAAAATGTTAAATACAAAAGTTGTAGGGTTTAAAAAGATCTATTTTATGATATTAGCAGTTTGACCTTGA